AATGTCCAACTGCTCTTTTTCAATATAATGAAAGTGTACAGCGATTACAGCTGTTCTCCCTGGTTTTCAAAAAGTGCACAAAGTTATGTTGACCACGGCTGCATTTATTGGACCAAAATACAGCATAAAACTGTATATTGTGAAATATTTGTACAATTTGAATTAACTATTTTATTTGAATATATCAATATGAATGGAGAAAACAGTTGTGCTGCTTCATATTTTTGTGGAAACCATGATAGACTTCCATTGAAAAGTATGGAGTGAGATAAAAAAAAAAAAGAAATTAATACTTTTAATTCTTTTGCATTAACAGTAAAGACATTCATAATGTTACAAAAGATTTCTATTTCAAATACACTGAACTTTCTGTTCATCAGAGAATCCTGAAAAATGTATCACGGTTTACAAAAAAAAATGAAGCAGTTTTCAATTTCTCAACTGGTTGCTTGAAACATTCTTTTAAATTAATTATGTTGTGTTCCACAGAAGAAAAGAAAGTCCTACCGGAACAATATGAAGGTGAGTAAATGGTGACATAATTTTCATTTTTGGGTGAACTATCACTTTAAGAGCCCTGCAAAAAAAAAAAAAATCCCCCGATAGTAAAGCATCTACAATACCATAATGAAAGGAGTTAATGCTGTCTGTGTCCTGGATTTTAATCAGGCATGTGAAGAGTTACACTGACCTCCATGCACTTCCCATGCTTTGAAATGAACTCCGCTGAACACCCGCTCGTATGCATGTCTAATGCTCCAGTTTTGTATTCACAGCCCATTGCTTATTTTCCCCCCATTACTTTGCATGTCAGAAGCAGTTTGGTACTGGTGTTTAGTACAGGTTTGCGAAAGGCTAAATTTACCCGTGCTGCTCGCTGAATGAGGAAGTGGAGGGATTTCACATTGATAGGTATTTCGTTTCATCAGACAGGTTCGGCTGTAGCTTGACAGAGATGGATAATTATGGCATGCCTTAAGGGCACTACATAGGACTCACTTTCAGACTATATATGAAAGACATTCCAAGGCAGCATACTACATAATGCATTGATACTTCAGATACTGTAGACCTAACACCATCAAGAGACACCATGCAGCATTTGATGTTTACTAATCTTTCCATGTGGACAGCGTAGAACAGAGTGAAGGATTGTATTCATCAGGGATTTACTAATCAACAAGCTATTTTTTCCGTCTGCAGTTCCATCAAGTTTTAATATTCTCAGGTTGCTTGTTATTTGTTAGAGTCACTGGCGAGTGACTTGCCATATTTTTTTCCCTTATGGCAAAATAGCACTTAAAAGACAGCTACGGACTGTGTGCAGCAAACAAATTATTCCATTTTCACGCCTCAGTTGTATTAAAACTGCAATTAACACCGGTATTCTTCCTATTCACCAGATAATTAAAATATGCAAAAACACTGCAGCATTGTCTGTATGGGCCCATTACACTTGCTTCCACACACAGAAGCAAAAAACACAAACCAGTCAAATTAATTTAGCAGCAAATATTAGATTAAACGGCTTACTGCACATACTGTGACAGCACGCTACGAATGTGAACCACTACCTCAGGGTTGCTGCAAAACACAAAAGAACTATTTACATTCACTTTTATATAAATAATTTGTATTAAGCAAACTATTAGCATAAAGTATCACTGCTTAATTATTCTTGTAATGTGAACATCTTTGGAACAACAGAAATTCAATTTGGTCAGAGCTAAATTTTTGAGATTTTACAAGAAAATACTATTTCAGCTTTTCCACTTAAAATTTGAATGTGTTACTTTCCATTTCATTGCAATTATTTGTGAAATGTACTAGCAGTTTCTGAGAGAAAACGTAAGAAATTTTCAAAATACGAAATTTTATTCTTAGCAACATGATTTTGTCATTATTTTTTTAAATGTATTGATGCTAACTGAATACTTTTTTTGCAAGTATAACTGTATATGTATTTTATGTATTATATATAGATGCTAACTGAATACTATTTGAGCAAAACCTCAACAATGTTAGCCAGCTATTTGCCATTGCCTACTATTTAATTCAGCAGAACTTGCAACAACATTATTTAATACATTGCAGAAAACCAAATAAGAGAAAGGAAAAATTTAAATCGCATCATATGACTCCTTTAAAAGCCATAAAAACGTATGGCCATGGTCAACAATCTTAAGATGATACAGTGATACTGGTCAGCAATTAGGTCATCCTTCCAGTTTACCAACTTTCCTTTTTAAAGGTCAAGTCATGCATCACTAATGTCACCAAACAGAACCGCAAAACTAATTTACAATAAATAATTAAAAAATAACCCATTGGTAAAGTCAATGTTATGGTGTCAAACCCAGTTAGGCCTTTCAAAGAAGCACATTGCAATTCTATTTGATGCTACTGATGGCTCAGAAATGACACAATCATTATGGTTTTTGAAAACACAGAGAGGCATATTTGACCCTGGACCACAAAACCAGTCTTAAGTCTCTGGGGTATAGTTGTAGCAATAGCCAAAAATACATTGTATGGGTCAAAATCATTGATTTTTCTTTTATGCCAAAAATCATTAGTATATTAAGTAAAGATCATGTTCCATGAAGATATTTTGTAAATTTCCTACTGTAAATATATTAAAACTTAATTTTGATTAGTAATATGCAATGCTAAGAACTTCATTTGGACCACTTTAAAGGCGATTTTCTCAGTATTTTGATTTTTTTGCACCCTCAGATTCCAGATTTTCAAATAGTTGTATCTCGGCCAACAAACCATATACCAATTCAGATTATGTATAAATCTCAATTTCGAAAAATTGACCCTTATGACTGGTTTTGTGGTCCAGGGTCACATATATGAGACATATTGGAAATAATTCTATACAATCTCCTCTACTAGTGTTAGACTATATGGTTGTGAACTCTCAGTTTGGTGTGATTGATATTTTGCGTTCACCTAGCCTTTTATAAAGATCAGAAGAAATGAAGGATTATTTGAACAGCACTTTAGAGATTAAGGGAAACCTCATGCTGGCCTTTAGATGTAATGACACTGCTGTCGTCACTCCAGATTGACTTTATTTTGCTAATCATTCCTGTGGTTAATGAGGCCGTGACATTTGATTGGAGGTTGACCTTTGTGCTGAAATATAATTCGACATGCATGGATGTATGTAAGTTTCCATTCAGGGGAGTCGTAAACTTGTTCTTGCTTGTATAGTAACGCAATTTCAATTCTCTGTGTGTATGTGCTGTACATCTGGAAGAATTGACAATAAAGCAGACTTGACTTGACTTGACTTGATATTACTCACCATGAATCTAATTTTATGGGAGTCTTTATTGGTAATATCTTTCGTAGCTAATGTAATCTATGGCATGCTAATGTGCAAAACTTGCGAAGATGAATAACTTCGCAGTACTGCAGATCTGTAGTGTAGAATTAGGGGATTCAAATGTCTTTTTCTGAAAATCGGCAATGTGTCAGTTTTAGGGGTCATGCTATCTGTCTTTTAATATGGCTGGCACTGAACCACGCTTTTGTGTAAACTTAATTGTGCGTTAAACTTTTGCCCATTGTGTACACTATAACAGATCTCAGTGCACGGCATACACAGATAGTGTCAAGCCAATTTGTAGAAAGTGTCAAGACACTTCCCCTTCTGCACAGATTTATGGAGCACAATAGTTGATCTACCCAGAGGACTTCACACTGAATGGATGACTAGCCTAATGCTGTGCAATACCAAATACAGAGGACAGATTGCAGCCTAATGGCAAACATGAGAGCTAATGCCAATCATCATCCTTCTAGGACAGAGAATAGAATAATCTCCCCAGGATTCACAAATACTACAGACGGATACTGAGGTTGCCATATGTAGGCTACTCTGTCATGCAGTACCAAGGCCTAGATTATGCAATGGAGCCAAAGATGATAAATGTAACAGCAAAAGTGTATTAAAAACCATCTTGCTGCCTCTGTGCCCAGTCAGTTAATGACTAAACAAGCAACATTTTGCATATGAAAACTGGTTTCAGGCTTCCGGGGCTCCAGAACATTTTTGATTTAAATGTTTAAATCTAAAAAGATTTAGAGATGATTACGATGCTTATTTCTCAGTAGAAACTGAGTGCTTGAAAAAATGCACTATATTGCATAAAAAGGAAAGGAAACTATGCTGCCTTCAAAACTGGCCAAGTGAAATCAACTGGCCATTTAGAATTTAAATTATAATTGCCTTTTAAATTCCAGTTAAATTCCTAAATTTGAATTGAAAATTGCAGTTCAAATTTAAGTGTTAACATGAATTGTAATTGAAAGAAGATTAAAATTATTTCTAATGGATCATAAAACAATGAAGACTGGAGTAATGGCTGCTAAAATTCAAGTTTCTGTTAATTGAATTAAATAAATGCAGCTTTGATTTATAAGAGACTTATTTCAAAAACACTGTATTCTTCTGCCTACTTAAGAAACTTTTAGCCACAAAAAGCAAAAGTGACACATCTCCACTTTCACAAAACTTTTAAAATAGCCTATTAACCAATATGACAAACTTTCAACACCAGCAAATTGTGTTATTTTCTCCACAGCAGCAGCTGAGGTTTTTCACAGCAAAATTTTAAGACTAAGCCAATATTTTCACCAAAAAAAAAAGCTAGCTAGATGCACGCTCTTGGCCCTTTGACAATTCAACCACCTTCTTTGCTGTAAATTGCAGAGCAGTTGTGTGCCAATTACAGCTTCGTGAGTATTTTCCACCCTCAGTTTTTCAAAGAACCCACACAGTGTATTTGATGCACTGCATTGTTGTACGAGACCCAAAGACCTCTGCGCCATGTTCATGAATGACCTTAAACCGGCCCCTAAAAATATCTCTTTGTGTTTTGCCGCCTCTGAATTAAAAAATACACAATCAAACATAAGCTGATTAAGTATCTTACATGGATTAAAAAACAAAAGCTAAACAGTCGCCATTCAGATTTATGCCCTACCTGGTGTGTCCCCAAAAGGATTCGGTGGTTTGGCAGTCACTCTGGAGTTGCTTGGCTGTGTGGTGCTGTGCCTCTTAGGATGTGCGGTTGTAATCACCGCATACGTCCTTTGGGGGCTGCGTGTGGTAGTGCTAGTTACGGTAACTGTGGTGGTGGAAGGGGCTAAAGAGGTGACGGTGGCATTCGGGGTCACTTTCGCCTCCTCCTCATGCCCCTCGTCAGCCCCTGTAGGGCCCCAGTCAATAAATCCTGCCACTGTGGTGGTCCTCCCCTCCAGGGAGTCATAGCCGTCCCCTTTCAGCTGCCTCCGTGAGCGAGATAAATGCAGATTTAAATCAGATTTACTCCCCTCTGGTAATGCAACCGACTTCCCTTTGTCAGAGGGGCACTCCGCGCAAAGTTGTCGTTTTTGGAGTGACCTGCGGTTTTTCCGCCCCCACAGTTTGGCGCCCTCCAGTTCCCCGTGATTGCCTAGTGATGGCAAGGGAGGGGGAATGCCACGATGCAAGACACCCAGAGTCCTCAAGTGCTGGCCGGTAAGCATGTCCCGAGTGGGCAGAGGGTGCGGCTGCCAGCGGGGCACTGATCTGGGCAGTAGTTTGAGGGTGAGCCCTTGGCCTGCTGGTGCACACAGAGACAGATCCATTGTGAGATGGACAAGGATGAAGAGGATCCACATTCTACATCCCAGCATTCCTCCAGGTCTCCAAGCAACCATGGAACTGAAGAGCAGAGAAAGAGAGAGAGGGAAATTAGCCGCATTGGAGAATCTTAATCAGTGCGTCTTTTATACATCACAGAGAGAGTATGCAGGCTTGGCAAAATTTACACAACTTCTTTACCTTAAAGACTGTCTTATTAGATCTTTCAAGGACTGACTACAGTAGATTGGGCTTTACCGCAGTCTTTGTAATGTCATTATTTCCAACACTATTTTCCAGTCTAGCGATTTTCGCTCTAGGCTTCGTTCTGCTCTGTGACTCACTAAGTTCTCATAAATTGAACTCCAATATTAATTAGATGTGTGATTCCCCTTTAACAGCTAGATGCTAAACGCACACTTCAATGTTGTTTTCAAAGACATTTACTTTCAAAGTCTTAGCCCGCACTCTTCAATTACTTTGCTTTGTAAACAAACGTTCCACTGGCTGAATTGGTCTCATGGTGCTAGCAACGTAAAAATCATAGGTTTGCACGCTCTAATAAAACATATTGCTTGAATGCACTGCATACTGCTTTGGATAAAAGTGTGCCAAATGTCTGTTATTTATTGGTATCTCATAAAATTTATCTGCAAGTGATACAATGTTGGGCTACAGATAAAATACAAGCGTTATACATTAAAAATAATTGTATGTATAAAAACTCATTTATATTATATTGTGAAAATTTTCTGAAATTACGTAAAAAAAGTCCAAATTCAAATTGAATTTTATTAAAACGTAATATATAAAACTACCCATAAACTATATCCAGATATTTTGTTCCTACATGTTATCTTCCTTATTGTCTTTTAAAAGCAGAATGAAATACAGTAGTCAACATTTGAAGTGGATCAAAAAAGTTAATGCACTGATCTGGGCAGTAGTTTGAGGGTGAGCCCTTGGCCTGCTGGTGCACACAGAGACAGATCCATTGTGAGATGGACAAGGATGAAGAGGATCCACATTCTACATCCCAGCATTCCTCCAGGTCTCCAAGCAACCATGGAACTGAAGAGCAGAGAAAGAGAGAGAGGGAAATTAGCCGCATTGGAGAATCTTAATCAGTGCGTCTTTTATACATCACAGAGAGAGTATGCAGGCTTGGCAAAATTTACACAACTTCTTTACCTTAAAGACTGTCTTATTAGATCTTTCAAGGACTGACTACAGTAGATTGGGCTTTACCGCAGTCTTTGTAATGTCATTATTTCCAACACTATTTTCCAGTCTAGCGATTTTCGCTCTAGGCTTCGTTCTGCTCTGTGACTCACTAAGTTCTCATAAATTGAACTCCAATATTAATTAGATGTGTGATTCCCCTTTAACAGCTAGATGCTAAACGCACACTTCAATGTTGTTTTCAAAGACATTTACTTTCAAAGTCTTAGCCCGCACTCTTCAATTACTTTGCTTTGTAAACAAACGTTCCACTGGCTGAATTGGTCTCATGGTGCTAGCAACGTAAAAATCATAGGTTTGCACGCTCTAATAAAACATATTGCTTGAATGCACTGCATACTGCTTTGGATAAAAGTGTGCCAAATGTCTGTTATTTATTGGTATCTCATAAAATTTATCTGCAAGTGATACAATGTTGGGCTACAGATAAAATACAAGCGTTATACATTAAAAATAATTGTATGTATAAAAACTCATTTATATTATATTGTGAAAATTTTCTGAAATTACGTAAAAAAAGTCCAAATTCAAATTGAATTTTATTAAAACGTAATATATAAAACTACCCATAAACTATATCCAGATATTTTGTTCCTACATGTTATCTTCCTTATTGTCTTTTAAAAGCAGAATGAAATACAGTAGTCAACATTTGAAGTGGATCAAAAAAGTTAATCAAAGTTGTCCTAAGACAAGAACGCATTTTGGTTTTAGGTTTTAGGACAACTTTGATGAAAGGTTTTGATCCACTTCAAATGTTGACTAATGAAGTATGATTAAATTTGGTGGTTTAAATAATAATAATAATAAAAATAATATCACATTTCATTATTATGGCGGTCCTAAAAAAGCATTTTGTACAATTTTTTTCATAGACACCCTAGCACCCCCTTGTGGTCCCCTGGGGGTCCCTAAAACCACTTTGAAGACCTCTAGTGAAATAACAAACTCCTCAAACCACATAATGTCCAACTTCCACTGTGATGGCTTCTTTTAGCTGAACTACTTCTTGAGGGGTGCTGTTTTTTCAATTCCAGAACCTCAAACACATTGAAATGAGCTGTCACACTCATATCTAGAAGCCAAGAATCTGTATTGATCCAGACAGAAAGAAAGTTCATCAAGGCATATCTGTAATCTTTTCTGTCCTTTGATAATATTGGTCACGGTCAAAGGCTAATTTAGAGGGATTAAAGAGCCCACACATGGCCACACATACTATCAATGGCCTTTCTGTTGCTGTGAGTTTAGAGATGACAATTTTATAGAGTTATCTGACCCACTGGTGAACCGTCATATCTGAAGTCCAACACAAAGTAAAATATGAGTCATACTTGAAAATTATATACTAAAACGGTTTATAAAGCCACGAATTGAAAAGAATATAGATTCCCTTTTCATCTAAAGAGCACTTTCCATTTACCTATACTTAAGAGCTTGTTCGATATGCTGCTTCATCTGTTCATGAATAAGATGGATTCCTCAAGCACACTACGAGAGGGCCCTTGCTCTCCATTTTCCCCTCTTCTAGCCCCTCTTTACATTTCTCTCTCACTTTCCATTCGGGGAAAAAAACATACTTGTGGGATCTGGTCTGACTGAACTGGGTCAGGACCTTGGGTTGGCCACTCATCTGAGAGATTTTACCTCACTAATAAGGTCCTTCAATCCCATCGGGCTAGGCCCCGGGGGGCCTGACTCACACTCCCTGTGCTAATGTGTTCCATTAGAAAGTAATTCCTGTCAGGAACATCATTGTATTTACTTAAGGAGACGTATCGGAACCGATGTTGTGCTATTAATGATCACCCATCCGTTGGCTTTTGATGAAATTAGGTGGCTACATTGTGAATTCAAGGAGGCTGCTGTGATACTAATGAGGGCTAAATTAAGGGTCACGCAAGACAGGGTGTGAACGAGAGTGAGAAACATTGAGGACAGCTTTGCATGAACAACCCCTCCCTGCTCTTTACTTATAACGCATCAGCTACGATTCGGGTCACTTCAGCATGATGCAACCCATTTAGATCCTGCATTGTAATTCAACACGCCGCCCACAAAGCAAATGTCTTGTTTATATTTAGATTTTTAAAGTAACCAATTTGAATTCACAGACTACACACAGACACTTTCAGGGTTTAAAATGAGCTTTTTTGCCACTCAAGCCAATTAAGATGACATAGGCAAACCTCTTCCAATTACTTGCCATTCATATGAATATTCTCTAAATTTGTGGTGACATTTCAGCAACTTGTGACTGATTTCATTGTATCATGAATATAAACATATCCTGTCTTACAGTTCAACCCAAGTAATGTTAAAGTTCTTAATGAAGATACCGGCCAACTGGTGAATTATTGTTTTGTTTATTCAACGAATTTGCATTCTGCACATGTTTGCGAGACACTGAAAATGAGTAAATAAATTTAAAACACATAAAAATAAATAAATAAATGCAATAAATTAAAACTACAAGGGACAGAGACAGGAATAAAGTAATGAATAAAGAAGATTTTCCTTTTGAATATTCATTAGGCTGATGTTCACTATGTTTGCAAGCTTGCATAAGATTTGTGCATAGTTGTTTAGATTTAACAGCAGCACAAATATAGACTCAGTGGGAATATATCATTTCTTTTCTCATCCATATTCATGATAATGGGAGGAAATAAAAATATTTTTATTTAATAAATGAAAGCGCTAAAAGAACATGTTTCCTGACACAAGCAAGTTAAAAGAAGCAGCTCGGGAGTTCCTAAAAAGTTAAATGGAAAATATGCGATCTGAAAAAGCCTGAAAGAAAATGATAAGACCATCTCCTTTTTCCATCTCGCTCATATCCGCTCTGTTAAAAGTAAAGGGAATAACATTATAAACACCGACTGAACTGATCATGAGTTTCACCAAAGTACTTTAAGACCATCTTCATGACACCCCAGACAGCTACTTCTAGTCACATGCTGCAAAATACATGCTGCACACCTTTAGTGATATTAGCACAATTTTATTAGCAAGTTTACAAGTTAAACTTTACTCACCATCAGGCCATCCAAGATGTAGATGAGTTTGTTTCTTCATCAAAATATATTTTTTGCAAATTTTCATCCTTATGATCATATTCTCCAGCATGATTTGAAATGATCCAAAGAGCATCTTGAGCTCTAGAACATCTGACTGTCTGATCAATGTTAAACTTGATTAGCAACCAAGAAATAGTGCAGAATCTTAAATATTTCTGTTCCTTTTACACTATAACATTGATATTTTTTATCCTAAATTTTTCAGTCTCATATTTTCGATATGGACTCAGACTTTAGGACTGCAGATTACGAAGGAATATCAAATAATAATGGTCTAAATACACATGCAAGCCCAGTATATATCCAGAGGGATTATGGTAAGCACTGTCCCAGGTTACTATTAATGAGATGGGAGGTTTTGGTAGATGAGCATATGGCTGGTGGAAAATTCAGGAACATCCAGTACTAGTTACTCAGCTGTCTTCACATCCAATGAGTGAATTTCTTCACACAAGACAATCAAGTGCCGTGATCTCGTTCCATTACGAATCCTCACACATACTCTCTAGACACAAGACGAAACTTGAGAAACCCGACCAGAATGGTTTCTGACGGCAAGCCAAATGCTCACTGACATATGACTCATGGGCCGATTTTTCAGCTGAATTACACTTCAGAGAAGTGTTGCAAATAAATATGGATTCCATGCCATTAAATTAAATAACAAAACATTAAAATCCACATTAAATACACCATGAAAAATGTAAGTTGTGAATAAAATACATTAAATTAAATTAAGTAACAAAATATTAAAAGCCACATTAAATATGACATGACAAAAAAGTTGTGAATAAAATAAAATAAAATAGCCACTTTTAAAACCTACATTAAATATGCCAGGCAAATAATGCTAATTTGTTAATAAAATAAATAAATTACAAAATTAAATAAAATATATTAATTAAATAATTAAATTAAATTAAATATCAAAACATTAAAATCCACATTAAATATACCATGAAAAAATGTAAGTTGTGAATTAAATACATAAAATAAAATACTGTATTTATCTGGACAGCATTACTAGCCTGCCTTAGAAATGGCCAGTGGGAAGCTATTCAGGAAGGATCTCCTAGTAATTATACAGATATAGAAGCATCAGAAGCAGGCTGGAGAGACATGACAGGGGTGTCTGCGTATGTGAGAGTGTGTAATGAGGCTTAGCCAAGGAAAAGGACAAATCCCTGCTCTCTCGTTGGGAGAGATGTGACGTCATTGCAAAGCCCTGCCATTAACTCACTATAGGAAAGATTTCACACATTAATCTGCTGACAGGTCTTAGGTAGTACAGCAAATCAGTGAGATTATCTTCACAGTGAGATAGTTTTTCAAAGACATGCCTGAGCTCTTCAGTGTAACAATGTTACGTCTCCAAACACAGATTTGTGAATCAGCAAAAAAGGTGCAGTACCTGCAGAAGTAAAACATAAAGGTCCCAAAAGTATGCTGGGATTACAGTGAACATCTCCTTGAGTTGTTTCAGAGACATGCTAGACAGTTGAGTCTGTCTGGAGCTGAGACTCAAATCAAATGAGCAGCAGGCCTCTCTTCAGCACCTTGGACAGCGCCGCGGCTTCTGACTGCAGTCACGACAGCACAACAGTGGGAAGAAAATGTCAGGACAAGGCATGGGTGGGCAATCATCACAGTTCATAATGTCAATCGTGGATCAGCAAAGATGGTTAGAGTAGAGAAACATCTTATCTGAGACTTATTTTGAGGCTCTTCTTTCCTTTTTCATCCAGGAAG